CAGGCGGCACGGGCTGGGCTGTGTTGGCGTTACAGGGACAGCAGTCGTCTGGTGTAATGTGGAACCGGTGTGAGTACACCTTACCTACACGCCGTGGTTGGTGAGTATTTGTGTTGTATATCAAAGCAGTTACTACAATTGCATTGCCGGCCTCCTGTGAGTTGTTAGGGATTTCAGTATATAGAATGGGGGGGGGGGGGGATGTGGACTCCGGTATACCTATTCACTCGCACGGCGAAACACAACGTAAATGTTGCTGCGCGGTTTTCTCGTGAAGCCGTGGTATCACTCCCGTCGACCTGGCCCATTCGTGCCGAAACATGGCTCTTCCACGCTTTAATTATAAGGAAGTATATACATATGTATGTATAGTATATCATTGATGTATAATTATATTAAATTGCCTTAATTCACATTTAATTTTAACATTACTATAATATCTTAATTTAATACTACAAAAAAATAACAATGTCTAATTCATGCTGTTTGAGGATGATAATTGTAATGCTTGTAAAATACTGGTTAGTCTTAAGTGCTTTACCATAAGGTAGCACGAACATTGCGCCTACCAAAACAACAATTAGTTTGCCATAAACGTTTTCACTTTTGACTTATCAAGATCTCAAAAGTTTATTCCTTCTTCCAAAAAGATTAAAGCCACGGAGGGAGACATTTTTAACCCCCGACGCAAAAAGAGGAGGTGTTATAAGTTTGACGTGTCTGTCTGTCTGTTTGTCTGTGGCATCCTGGAGCCTGAACGGGTGAAGCGATTTCAATTTAATTTTTTTTTGTATTTAAGGTTACTTATGTGCTAGTGTTTTTAGACATGTTTGACGAAAATCGGTTGAGCCGTTTAGAAGTTATGGGAGGGCAAGTGGGGAAGGGTAACCGAAGCTCTGCAAATATACTCGAGTGGGGTGTCAAATGAAAGCGCACTGAAAGGGAATGTTGATGACTTAATCGAGAGAAAATGATATAAAATACCTATAAAAAGTATAAAATAAAAAAAAATAATTAGACCCCCGACAAAATAGAAATATGTAAGTAGTTGATAATAAAATATTTGGATCGGTCCCCTAACGCCACGTTTTCTTTTAATTATTACTCTTTATAGAAAAATTAGATTTTTGGCCAGGGGTTTTTTAAATTTAAAATTTTTATTATTACCCATTTAAACTTATGTGGGTATGCACACTTAAATAATATTTTGTCGACAGGATATTAGAACCTGAAATACGTAGTACCTACACACGTGTTGTATTTCTGATCCTGCAATCGTAACCTTCATTTAATCACATCTCGTGATAAGTTCACACAATCTTGTATCTGCGTGCATTCAATTGCAAGGAATCTAGTCTGGCAGGTCTGGCGGAATCAAGGCGAACGCCAGACACTGGTCTCATTCCATACACTTAACTGAGTTTAAGGCGGATGTTTCTACTTTGAACGTTTGTCCCATAAAGATAATAATCTGAAAGTTAGATCTAAACTCGGTGCATCAAGCTTCTACATCCTGTTTATTTTGTTTTAGGTGTTTTATATCTTCATTATGCCGCGTCTACATGGCGATCTTACGAATTATCATGGATTTTTGTGACGGGACACTAAACTATCCCCATACCTCCATCCACCTATTGAAGGAATTTCACTAAAAAGGTGTTGGAGTGAGAAAGTAGATGTTACATACGTAATTAAAGAAATTTTGAAACGTTTTTTTGGGACCCTTCCTCATTATGAATATACTTTCTACTCATTCTTCGATTCTCCCCTATCAAATGTCATCCGACCACAGATTCTGTTTATTTCTTTGCAGCTTCAATGCATTCACCGTAAAATCATACAAGCATATACTTTTCGAAAGTAGAATACCCACATTCCAATTATGAACCTATTTACGGATCGGACAATAGTAGTGAAGAACGAACTTATAAAAGCAACCAAATGGAAATATAAATTTTCTTTGGACTAAGCGCAAGTAGGAATACCAGAGGATTAATTAGCAAACTAAAGTGGCAGTGGGCAGGTCACATTTGTCGAAGAACCGATGACCGTTGGAGTAGACGTGTTCTAGAGTGGAGACCACGTCTAGGCAAACGTAGTGTAGGGTGCCCTCCAGCTAGGTGAACTGACCATCGAAGAGCTATCGAGCTCAGTGGCGTGTAATGAGGTGGGAGGCTTATGGCGAGCAGTGGACGATATCAGGCTGATGATGATGAAGCACAAGTACTTAGACCAATTGAAATTCTAAAAAAAGATACTATGATAAGGCTAGGCATGTATTTATATCTATATTTTTCGTACAGATCACCTGATGGTAAGTGATCAGCGACGCCCATGGATAATAGCATTAGCTAAAGCAGCTACAGAAAGGCTTTTTGGGTGCGGGTATACGACCGACGGTCGACCATAGGTAACCTTTTACAGCAAGATGCAAAGCAAGCGTTGTTGCACGCCGAATTTCTGTCAGATGATAATACTAATTCGGTCTAGCTGATTATCTCTAAGGTGATATTTTACTAGTCAATTGTCGCCTTAACCGCACGAGTTAAAGCTTCTTAACTTTTTATCCTATAAATAAACTGGTTGACATATATGCCCTGATGAAGGCAGGCTGTTGTATTTAACGCAATGAAAGCTATTTATCTATCAGATTGCTAATTAAGTCATTAATAACTACTAAGTGGTTGCAAAAGTGCATTTTATCTTATCTTTTCGGGCAATTCAAAGTGTGAATGTTATTGATGACTTGAGGCTTATAAACGTATGATATGTACGGGTCAGTATCTAGTAGTAATGCTAGTGGTAGTGTAATCAGTTTTAGGGTGGGTGAAGAAATTTGATAATGTCCCTCCTTAAATACGATGACTGCACGGTTGGTGGTGGCTGGACAACTGGCTGCCGTGCAACGTGTTGCGGCTTCCCGCACGGAAGAACAGTTTGTGTGATCCACAAATAGTTGTTTCGGGTCTGGGTATCTTGTATATGTGTTTCTAAACGCACTTACGACACAGGAGAAAATGCTAGGGTGCAACCGGGTCAAAACGTCAAGCCTACCAAGGTATTTAAATAATTAGTTTCCGCTTTAATACCCGCGTAACTATATGTCGTAAATATGTTTAAATCTAGCTCTTCCATGTATATCATCATCAGTAACTATCAGAATCCACCCTTCTTTTACGTGTCAATTTAATAATTTAACCTTTAACAGTCAAATGTTTCATGAAACTACTTTTTTATGTAATAGGTCGGCAAACGAGCATACGAATTACCTGATGGTAAGCAATCAGCGCCGCCCATAGACACCCGCAACGGAGGAGTAACGAGTGCGTTGTCGACTTTTTAGGGAAGGATTGGGCCTCCGGTTACCTCACTCACACGTTTTTCTGTGAGGCCGTGGTATCACTCCGGTCGAGCCGACCTATTCGTGCCGAGGTATACTTAATTTAAGATAATTAAGTAAGTCATTATCTTTACGTACATGCTCCGAATATGAGAAGACATCTGAATGTACCTACGTATTCAACAATAGTAAACAATTTTGATTAATTAATTTTGTGAGAACGTCTATAATAATAGGACGACTTCAACTTGTTTCTCATTATGTAACTCATCAAAATAGGTAGAAAAACCTACGCATTTATCGTCTTCCTGCTTTTGAAATCACATGGAAAATACAAAACCAGTTTTCTTACATTAAAATATTGTTACAAAGTAAACATTTTACGATTTAACTTCTCAATGAAATGGAAACGATACATAAAATTATTTAAAAACCGAACGACAGTTTTTTTTTGTAATCAGCGCCGCCCATGGATGCACACTCGCTACGGAGGAGTTACGAGTGCGTTGCCGACTTTTTAGGGATTAGGGATTTGGAGATTTAGGGATTTAGGAGGGATTGGGGGAGGGGAAGGATTGGGCCTCCGGTAACCTCACTCACACGGCGAAACACAACGCTGTGGTTATTTCACGCCGGTTTTCTGTGAGGCTGTGGTATCACTCCAGTCGAGCCGACCCATTCGTGCCGAAGCATGGCTCTCCCACACTTAACTTAAGTTTTCATTCATAAACTACGGGAGTCAATGAGGCTACGTTTATTTTTCGAACTGATGGCGCTAGGTACGGATCTCATGTACATATTTTCGGCCAATAGACCAATAATACTGAATGACACTGAAAGTAAGCTAATATCATAATACAGTCACACCATTGGTCGTTCGATTTTTGACAGCCACATTGGACCAATTAAAACTGCCCTCTTGCTAAATGAATGCCATCTGGTGACCAAAAACCAATAGCTCTTATCGCGTCTGCTTCTGCATACTTAAATACAAATTAAAAAAATAGAATTGTGGTCGTAATTTACTACTTCTACTTTTTTACTACAAAACGATTCCTGAATAAAGTACAAAAAATGACGTTTTATTTAAAAAAGTTTATTTATTATTATAACAAAAACTACAATATAATACATACATACTTGTTTCTACACGAGAGGTATAATTTACTCTTAGGTACTTATAATAATAGAATAGAATTTCTAGTAGGAATTTAGAAAGTATTGTCTATTCTCTTTACTTCTTATAAATATATCGCAACTTCTCTTGTTGTCAGCATCACACGTAAAAGGCAGGACCTAAGTATTTGGCTACTTAATTCCATTTCTGTAACATTTTTACAATTATGAAAATCTTACGATACAAAAAAATACCATAGATACCTGGTAATTTGTCAAAGGTTGAGAATTAACAAACGTGAAAAACCGGAGAGGGCAGCAAATTTATTTTAATTAGGTAATTCTAAAGATGCATCTAGGCATCTAAATTAATTAAAAATAACAACTCATCTTGAAAGACGCGGCGACACGTCCAATGTTATAAATAAGAGTTCCGTTGTTACTTGAAACGCTTTTCTCGGCTCAATTAAACTCCAAGCGAACGCTTGCGTTCGCGCACATATTTTGTCTGGAATTACCACGATTGATAGGTTATTCACGTGAGTTCTCCTAGTCAATCAATTTGGCATGTCTCGTGATAATTGCAAAAAAAATACGCATCTAATTGGAAACAACTTGAATAGGTTTAACACCAATCCTCTTGGCCATGGTTTCCATAGCCTCTAATTGTTTTTGAGGATAGTTCACAGTTCCCTTCGCTAGTGTCGCCTCTCCAATGTGGTGCTCTTTGTCCCCTGGAGCCAAAACTGGAAGGGATGGATCAATCTGGAATAAAATAGATGTATAATAAGTAGTTTTAAAACGTATGCATGTTCAAAATTCGAAATGATTACAGCAGCATCATCACTATCAGCCGGAAGATAGCCCCTGCAGTTTCATTTTTTAATTTTATCTACCTCCCTTAGATCAACACGCTACAACGGTTTACTACTTAACCGGACTAATTCTTGCGGTGGGTTATAAGGTAAGGCTCCTTAGATAGGGCAACAAAGTCTACTATAAGCCAAATGACCGCATTGCTGAGGGCACCCCCTTCGGGGTTCAAATCTCGAAGCAAATTGCAATCGAAGTATAGTTGCAATCAAATCGAATGGATGTTTTAGTCGCCGGTATGTGAACTAAGTAAACTAAGTAAGAAATAATTAAAAATGTAGATATGGATAGTATAGGAGAAAAACGTTTAGGCTTATAAATCAAACTCTTTCTGGCAATCAGTATCTTATATATAAAAATGGATCGCAAAATGCGTTGTAAGCGCATAACTCAACAACGCCTGGACCAATCTTGCTAATTCTTTTTTTGTTGTGTTTGTAATTGTCAGGAGAAGGTTCTTATCAAAAAAAATATAAGAAAAGTAGAGGGGAAGTTTAGGAAAAAGTGACACTATGATAGCGAGATAGTTGGACCCGTGCGAAGCGGGGGTGAGCCGCTAGTTACTAATAAATAACTTCCAATAAATGAACAACAACTCGGTGCCGCGCAACGTATCGCGGTTTTGATTCCCGCACTCAACAACTGTTTGTGTGGGTGTATTATGTTTATGAAATTTCACGTTTGTAAAGGCACCCACAACACAGGAGAAGAAGAGAAATCCTCTAGTGGAAAGAAAAGAATAGCTAAATTGGGCCAATGTTTTAGTAAAAACAAAAATTTTACGTCTCAATTTGTCAAAAACCTAAAACCAACAACAATTTTTACATACCGGTTCCAAGTTTCTCCAGGTGTTTAAACAGTCGGAAGCTCTATCCACGAAGCCAGGAGCAAAGCATTCAGGATTGATGGCAGCAAAACATTGGCCCAAATCTGGTGGACCTTGGTTGCTCTCCAGTTCCCAGCCACGTATGTTATGAGTTGATTTGGACCCTGTAAAGTTGAGAGTATAATTTTACTTTCTACCTTTTATGCTTCAAAGACTTAGTGGTACCTCGTACTTATGTTTAAAACCTCAAGGTCATGTAGTTGTATAATTACAGATGTGGTTTTAAACAGTTTTAAACACACAAAATACAAGGCATTCAATAAAACCTGTTCAGCATTCTTAATTTTGCCTATATAATAGGCCCAGATAAGGAGATCCTATCATTCATACCTGATAATCCGCTGCAGAAGAGTTCCACCATGGCGCTGAGGGCATAACCCTTGTATCCACTAGTCTTCTCTTCCCCACCCAACGGCATCAGGTGACCAGCTTGGAACGCCTGATAAAAGACAGTTAGTTCACTATGAATGGTCTGAATGAGAGAAAATCTTTATACTTCAGCAAATGATATAGGTACTTATTTAAAAAGAATATTGGAATTATAAACCTTCTTGGTAACACTTAGAGTTATGGAATATGATCCAATAATTACCAAGCCCATCGCAGGATTGAAACTAAGACCACATAATGTAGCCTCGCTTTTGCAACTACTCGACGTTACTATTAATGCACCGGAGCAAAGTACTACGTTAAGTATGTCTGCTTTCAAAACTTTTTAAGGCGCCAGTTCACTTCCTGTTTTGTTTTTGTAGTTTGAGCGAAAAATCATCAATTAGCGTTTCTCGTCCAGGATGAGGCGAGAGGTCAGACTTTTACTGACTTAAAACCACCCCGTTTCTTCTCCTGTTCCAGGCCAAGGCTGCGGTACCTTATGCGCTTTCCCCGCAGGCTGAACATCTACCCTGAAGGGCCCCATCAGCTGACCCGAGGATCCAACTCCCCGGATATTGTGCGATATCCGTGGTTTACGCGAATGGCCATGAACCTCTGGGACGTGACCAGCACCCGATTTGGCCGCCGCCTCAAGTCTGGCACCCATACAGGGATGTTAAGGATCGTGGACCGTACTATCCCCAAATACAACCTCCGGCAGGAGGCCTCCCCCTTTTGCCCTCCCTTTTGCCCCCCTCACTTTGGGAAGGAGTTAGTTAATCACTTACCGCCTTAGCGTCCGTGGTAGGCTTGCCATCAGGTCCTAATGCCCAACCAGGCGGCAAAGGTTCTTCTTTATGAATTTGTACTTCAATCTGAAAAAAGCAAAGTTTTAATGATAAGGGTAAAATTATTTTCAACAAATTATAGGTAGGTACTCGGAATACTCTTGCCATATCGTCTGTCTAATTATAACTAGAGAACGTATGTATAAAATATTAATCAAATAATAACGAAAGACTGTGACCATTAATTGATAGGTTCAGAAAACAAAGTTCTCGTTGAAAACTCTCGGTCGGGTGAAAGTGAATGAGTTCATATTTTTTTTGTAAACTAAAAAAATATAATATAATATAATAGTAATCTTACTGTACCTTTCCCATAGCAACTGTGGTTGTAGCCATATCCACCACAACTTTATCACCATCAGCTGCAGGTGCAGCCATCGCAATAGGATTCGTTCCCAGCGCTCTCTGAAACAAATAATTTACATTTAAAATCCTTATTACAAATGACACGAGAAGTTTTGTTAATGTTTATCCATTTTCTTTACAGTTGTTTTTTATGTGATTGAAACGAGCACATTGATTAACTGATATATAGCATAGCAAGAACAGAGGAGCTACGAATGCGTTGCCGACATTTTGGGAATTAGGGATTGGGGGAGAGGAAAGATTTGGCCTCCGGTAACCTCACTCACACGGCTGAAACAAAACGCTGTACTTGTTCAGGTCGGTTTTCTATAAGGCCGTAGTATCATTCCGGTTAACCCGACCCGTCAAAACATGGCTCTCCCGCACCTAAATTCTACTTCAACAAGTTCATAGCATCGTTATCTTGAGCACACAGTTAGTTATAACCTTTATTAAACTTACCTTTTTCGATCTAGTAGGAACCATGATTGGAGACGAGTTGGTGAAAGCCAGGCCAATGAGACCCTCGCGTTCCGCCTGCAGCGCCCAGTAACCAGCCATCCCGAAGTGGTTACTCCCTAGATAAATTCAATTCTTTAGGTATCAGAATTTTATTTACAACTAGCGGCCCGCCCTCGCTTCGCACGGGTCCAATTATCTCGCTATCACATTTCCTAATCTTCCCCTCTACTTTTCTAATATTTTCTCTGATAAGAGCCTTCTTCTGACAATAAAAAACACAACAAAAAAAGAATTAGCAAAATTGGTCCAGGCGTTGTTGAGTTATGCGCAATTATATTAACACATTTTGCAATCCATGTTTATATATAAAGATAATAATTAAATTAATAAATAAATTTTAACACAATTAAATTTTTCCTAGGTCTTTTATTCATCGATCTGTCGATACACCAAGTTTTAGATATTTCGTAGCTAATTATTAAGAAATAAGTAAGCTATTTGACGCAAAAATACTACAACGTCATAACTCAGTTTTTCATACATATTTCATAGAAAAGTATAGTTTTTGACATTTGGATAAAAGTATTGATTTTGACTAGTTGGAAACTACCGTATTTGCCTTTAAAGAGAACGGTTTATAATTTGTACTTCAGAAACTCACTCTTAGCACAAACCCATCCAACGCCACATTCTTTGGCCTTCTTGATGGCTAAATCCATGCAGAAGTTGCCGACGGTAGCCCCAAGTGCGTTGTGACCATCCACCCAAGCTGTGGCTCCCGATTCCTTCAGGATCTCTGGCTTAGCTGTCGGCACACACGCCTTAGACTGGCAGTCATTGATGTAGAATTCTGTCAAAACCAAAAAGAAGGAGTTTATCAGTACAATATGGTAAATGTAGCAATCATCTTTTAAAACATGAAGAGATATTATTACACAGGTAAATTCTATTAGATATTATTTACATGAATCATTTTCTACTTTACTATGTTGTTGTAAGTACCGTGGAAAATCAACTGTAAAAGAAGGTCATTTCAGGATGACTGGTGTTTTTAAGTGTGGGAGAGCCATGCTACGTCACGAATGGGTCGGCTCGACCGGAGTGATACCACGGCCTCATAGAAAACCGGCATGAAACAACTACAGCGTTGTGTTTCGCCGTGTGAGTAAGTTTACCGGAGGCCCAATCCTTCCCCTCCTCCGATCCCTAAATCTCCAAAATCCTAATCCTTAAAAGGTCGGCAACGCACTCGTAACTCCTCCGATGCGGGTATCCATGAGCGACGCTGATTGCTTATCACCAAGTAATCCGACTGCTAGTTTGCCAACATAATGACATAAAAATAAATGAAGCATCTATACAATTTATAAGCAGGCTTCATCTAAGCCTCTTTTACCTTAGAAAAAGATTAAGCGGCAAGGTCGCAGCTATGATCAGAACGAAAGATATAAAATAGAATAGCTTATTGCTGCCATCTTTTTCAAACAAAGGATTTTGTGAATTTATCATCGTTTATAGTTGCATAGCACAGTTTACGTAATGTTTGTTAAAGCGATATAAAAAAGCAATTAAAACTCTTCTGTTGCGAGGCCTTATTTGACTAGATTATAAGGTAAACTGATTAGAAACTCATTGATTAGAACAATGATTGCATAGGATTCCAAAATCAAAAATGTCCAAAATCAAAATTTTTTGTAAATAGTAGCAAGTGTCAATACGAGTATAATATTATATTAGAATTAAAAAACTGTCATCATCATCAGCCTATATAAGTGCCCAGTGCTAAGCAAATGCCTCTTCTCGCGTCGAGAAATGTCGAGCATTAATCACCAAGCTTGCTCAAGCAAGGCGGATTAGTGATTTCAAACTGCGAATTAGAAATTACAAGTCCAGGTTTCCTCGCGATGTTTTCATTCTCTTTTTGTCAATAGTGTCTAAATACAGTTAGAAAGTGCATATGACTCAGATAAAGTTACATTGGTATTAGCCAGGTTTCGAGCCCGCACTCCCATCATGAGAAGCGGGTGCCTTAGCCTCAGATCCACCACGACGTGAATATTTTATAAGGCCGTATATATTCTCTGGTGTTAAAATTAATAATTAAATTCTTTCCACAACATACCAAGTCTGTTTAGACCATGACTATAATGTCCCACGGTGTCTGCATGCATCAGCAGATCAGCATGGGCCTTCGCCTCCGACTCTGGAGCCCCCACAGCCTTCAGACTATCCTCCATGAACCGCCGCACCTCTTCCAACTTTACTTCAGGCATGACTGTGAAAACTAAATATGAAGAGAGTTAATTAAAACACCAGAACTACAAACTGCTTCTACGTTAGGGAGAACATTAGAGGACAATAGATAATATGTGAATTATAAATATTACAAATTTATTGATAAATGTGATGACAAAGATGACAAAATGTATTATCAAGTATAAGTATAGATATATTTTTTTTGTCAGAAGAAATACATCAATTGACTTCTCCCGCCCAGGGTGAGGCGAGAGAAAATGTCAGACTCTTACTGACTAAAAAAACCCCCCGTTCCTTCTCCTGCTTTAGGTCGAGGCCGCGGTGCCACATTGCACATACCCCACAACCCCGGCTGAAGTATAAATATAATCAGACACCACAGAAACAGTTGCTACTTCTGTCCTTTTCCCATTGGATTTAAAAGTCAGCAGTGAATATGAGGGAGCTATGTTATCTTACTACATTTATTAATACAAGGAGTTCAAACCCTCCATCACTCACACAATCCAATAAAATGGAACGACTCTCTACGACCGTTTACAAACTTTTAAATATAACGGTTATCTATTTTCTATCTATCTACGTTAAAACCAATACTAAACAATTTCTCCGAGATTTACAAGCATCAAAGGGTCAAATAAAATTAAACACCACAGAAAACGCAACACCTACTTACCAATTACTTGCAAACACTTATAAAAATGGACGTACGGTAAATAATAACAAAGTCATTAACGCAAATAGATAAAGAGAGCACTAGCCTTGTGTTTTAAAGAAAGTCTAAGCTAGGTCTGGAGGGAGACCTACCATATTACGTTTTGGAAAGGGGAATTAACTACAGGGTGTTAGTAACTTGAGGAATAATTTCAGTGGAAATGTGTCAGTTATTACAATGTAGGTAATACAAAACACCAGACGTGTTGTTAGCTAATGCTAATGACCCTTAGTAATTTGTTTGAACAACCCTCTAACACATTAATAAATAATACTTTGATAATATTATGTATACAATTAATTACTAAACTAAATAAAAATATACAGCGCAAACTAAAATAAAATAAGAAGCATTTGCTCCAAAGTGCTTAATAACTTTGAAATGAATTTGAATTTAATTTCAAACTTAAACAAATTAATTAATTTTATCGAAGAAGACATACTTAAAGTTCCAACACACAATAATATTATCCAAAAATATCTGTCTATTTTGTAGAAAACAAAAAAGTCAACACTATCAAAGTTTAATGTTATTTAAACACCATGTACACACTATAGAATCTGATACACTCTGATCAGCTGACAGTCGACCACGCAACTGTAATAGAACACTAGGAAACTGAACTATCATTAGAAAATCCACTCATTTTATATGTAGCAAGAAAATAAGGTAAAAAATATATGAGATTTCTTCACTCAACCGACAAAATTGTTAAGAAAAAGACGTCTAAAATAAAGGACTTTTTTCTTAAATTTTTTTGATGTTGACCTTCGTGTATTGGTCTTAGTGAGAGGAGGAAATAGTTAACCTAATGTCGATAAAAGTTTCGATAAAAGACTGCATGAATCACTTGAATTAAGATAAATATAGATAGATTTTCTACAAGTGAGACGTATTTCTCGCAACAGGTATATAGTAACAGGTATCACACAAATACTAGAACACCAATTACAGTTATAACAAAAAAACAGCAGTTATTCTATCACAACCACACACAGAGTCACAGTCACAGTTCAAATTACATCCTGTTGTGTGATGACCTGTTATTGGAATCAACATATAACTATACCAAAGATATATGTCACAGGTATTGAGACCTTTGTAGAAAAATAACAGGAAGAATAGGTATTATGTTTAACCTATTACAACCCAACTCTATTTGGTACTAACTGGAGGGAATAGACAATGGTGACATTTAACTCATTCACAATTCTTTATCTGATCGATTCCGCCCACTATTTTTGGGATGGGATAGGTCGGCAAAGGAATAAACAATTGACACCACATTCTTGGATGCACGCAACACCAAAGAAGTTACAATTGCATTGGCAGCCTTTTGGGGTTTGTAAGCGTGTGCAGATTGGGGTCTGGAGAGAGGAGAGAAGGATGGTACCACCGGGAACCTCACTCATACGATGAAACGTAACGCAAAAGTTTACTCTACGCTGGTATTCTGTGAGGTCTTGGTATCACTCCGGTTGAGCCGGCCTATTCATTTCGAATCATGATTCGTCCACTGCTGAGTATATGTAGGTATCTCTCATAGTACAATTGACGTGTCGTAGCTTGAAAAATGGAATAATTTTCCTAATGACTGTCTATTAACGTTAGAAATATATTACGGTCTTACTTCAAATGCAGTTACAGGTACAACAATTATTTTACCTTGCCTTTTTTGCTAAACACCTAGACAATAGACCTATATTGCCTTGAATAAAAATTTAAAAATCAATAACTAAATCGATCATAATGAACGATAACGCAAAAAAAAATATTCAATAATAACTTGCCAAAATAAAAAAGAATACTCACTTCCTTGACCCTTGTTCCTAATCGACACAAAATTGACCGAAATTGCACTCACAGTACTGAACACTACAGTAAAATAGACTGGAAAATAATATTTCACGACTTACTGCTACTTATAAGACGCGACGTGTATAAGACGAATACTTAAACAATGAACTGTAGCAATTAATCAGAAAAGTTGACATTCCATTTGACTATCTGTTGGTAAACAGAGATAAGTGACTGAGAATTGTCATGAAAATCTTACTATCTTACTAAAATTATACCTAAATGCGAAAGTAACCATGTTTGGATGTTTGTTACTCAATTACGCCAAAACTGCTGGACGGATCTGGATGAGGCATTTTGGCATAGGCATAGGATACACTCCGGAATAGGACATAGGCTACTTTTTATCAATATACCACGCGGGCGATGCCGCGGGCGGAAGCTAGTAATGACATAAGTAGTGTAAGTTTATTTAGAACCTGACAACAGAATACTTATGTTCATTGTTTGATCTTGCGAGGAATTGAGAAACGGAACCTGACAAACATACTTCACCGTTCTGTGTGATTTTGCGAGGTGTAGCCAAAGTTATCAGTTTTCATTCAGTGCCTGGATAACCGATCTTTGCTTGGCATTTTACCCTATTTTTTCTGAAAACTTTACCTAGCTAGATTAAGTTATCGTCTCCGAAACACCTTAATACATATAAAAGAAATCGTTCGCGCCATTTCCGAGATGCCTAAAATATGTGTACAAGATTTGCACTTTAGATCCAGGATATCTCGTAGGTAAAGCTGGTCATCATTAGCGTTAGCATGTTTTCATTCACTTATGGACAAAGATTTCTCCAATTAAGCTCGACCTAGCCTTTCTCATCCAACCACTGCTATCCTATCTACTTTATAAATAGCCTAGCAACCCGCCCGGCTTCGAACGCGTGCAATACTACTACTGAATTTCTCCACAAGTCAAGACACTGTTAGTGTCTACGGACGCACTCTATAATGCTTTTTGTCTTCGAGAAACTGAAAGTCTGTGTCTCAAATAGATGAAAATAAAGACTTAATATACTAACATCGTGCAGAGCAATGCATTGCTTAACATATTATATAGTTTCAAAACTGTCTGTATTGTTACTTGTACTATTTCATGTTATGTTTATAATCTGTAAAAAGGTAGGTAAGTAAGTACACACAGCCCTATTGGTTAGGGGCGGTCTGAACATTTATTTATTTAGAATAAAGATACGAAAATAAAGATACAGTACAGTAACTTATGTGATTACTGATCAGACTAATTGTTATTAAAAATACTGGTTTCATAAAAATCATATATAAAATAGCTACCTACTGTCTTTTTTGTAAATCTAATCTAATATTGATTTTCTTGCCACATATTCGTGCAGTCTGTAGATACCTAGCCAATAGGTTTGTACTTATATGTTTTCTTCAGTTCCGATAAGTGTATCTATTATTTTAAATTTTGATGGCATTTATAATTAATATAGTTTTCCTTACCGTTGCCAAAACAGATATCGGTATCTATATTTATACCTATTACGTCACAATCTGTATCTGCTGAAGTTATCTCTGTTTGGGGTCGTCTTAACTACAACAACATGGAATATTTTATTTTTCAAAATTATTTAATGTTACGAGTCCAGTCAATGTTTGTGTATGTTAACGTAGAATACGAAAACAGATTATCAATTTGTAAATTTATAAAAAAATATTTAGATTTTTTTATTGAGAGAGTAGGATTACTTAATTAATAGTCAAGTTATCAAATAGAAAATCTACAATAGAATAAAACACCATTTATTTCTTAGTACATGGAGGACAAAGATATTAGTATCTATTAACACAGTTTCACATATATACAAAAGTGTTCTCTTTCTGAATTTGAACGAAAAAAAAAATAATAATAAAAGAAATTGATCAATCCAAATTTGTCGCTGATAGGTTTAGTCTGAATTAAATTACTTTTTCAATTTTCAATTTTTTTTTATTTCTACAATGTCGCCTAAAAGCAACGATGCGTCCGACGACGGAGCATGGCACCCAAAGCAACATCATCTCATTATTAAAAGAGAAAACGAGTAACACCACAGGGTATACAATAGTAGGTATACATATACCTATATCTAATATCTATAATAATATTATATAGAGGTAAAATTTGTAAGTTTGTAAGTAGCGGGGTAATCTTTGGAACCGCTGGTCGGATTTCCAAAATTCTTTCACCGACAGATAGCTACAATGTCCCTGAGTGCTGTAGGCTATAAAACATTAAGCTACAATTAAATGGAGCCGAGCAGTGCATGAAACCGAGCGAGAATAGCTAGTATCTAATAGGTAGGTACAGTCATGTTATAAATCTAGCCTATGTTGATCAGTGAACATTGTGTGGCTGATACGGTGATGATGATGATGATTTTTTTTGCGATGGAAAGGTCATCAAATGACTTCTCCCGCCCAGGGCCGGACGAGAGGGAGTGTCAGACTCTTACTGACTAAAAACCCCCTGTTCCTTCTCCTGCTCTGGGCCATGGTCGCGGTGCCTCATTGCGCTTACCCCGCAATCCCGGCAGGACATCAGCCCTTTAGTGCCCGTCTGTGGATGATGATGATGATGATGAAATTCATTGAATAATGAATGATGATGATTAAACTCCGACTTTTATTTCCTATTAAATTATTAGTTTTTTGTTTTTATCAACGGGAGCCGTGTTATACAATCGAGTTCACTATCAAAGAATCGCTAACGACCTTGGCGCTGTCAAGGTTAGAATCGAGTTTATTTATACATACATACATACATACAAACATAGATACGTAAGTAGTAAAGGATTGGTACGTGATAGTCAGTCAGTAGCCTCGTCTGCAAACTTTTCGATCATTACAAGTAATTTTAGCATAATTTAGACAAGCATTTGGTATAAGGATCTGGTATGAATTATCGCGAATGGGTTTACTCTTAGATCTGAGCTCTTCTCATCCAACCTTTTAAGTGTGGGAGAGCCATGCTTCGGCACGAATGGGTCGGCTCGACCGGAGTGATACCACGGCCTCACAGAAAACCGGCGTGAAATAACCACTGCGTTGTGTTTCGCCGTGTGAGTGAGGTTACCGGAGGCCCAATCCTTCCCCTTCCCCAATCCCTCCTCAATCCCTAAATCTCCAAATCCCTAATCTCTTAAAGGTCGGCAACGCACTCATAACTCCTCCGTTGCGAGTGTCCATGGGCGGCGCTGATTGCTTACCATCAGGTAATCCGTCTGCTCGTTTGCCGACCTATTACATATTAAAAAAAAAAAAAACCACTGCTAACCAACCAGCAGACATCATCAGCCCACCTTGCGTTTGTTATAGTGAGCGAAAATTAGTGAAAATGGGTACAGTCGGTAGTGAAAAGGTAATCTATAAGTCGGATGGGTATTATACAAATAGGTACACCGAGTAGAAATATTTATTAACCAAAAATATGATTGACACACGTATGCTAGATAGATCAATTAAACCAATACACACAACATAACAGTTATTATAAAACTCTCATAAACCCATTTATGTCAACAATGTCCAAATGACCTTTAACTTGCTGCAAAGATGTCAGTCAGCATTCGTCACTGGAATTTCAACCTTATTAACATACTTGTTGACAAACCAGTCAGAGATCTGACTATGCCACTGTGACACAATATTTGAGGTGACGAAGTTATAGAGTCACGGGATATGGTACATTGAAGCAGGTATAATTTTAAAACAGTAGCATAATTATAGAAGTTGCTAATGCATTAAACTAAGAGTAAATGCAAGCATCAGCTATGGTGTTAAGTGTGATAATGCGAAGATGAGACGACACGATAGTAGGGATCGAATATCATTTTAAAATATGTCATGACATTCAATAAATGTAATCCACATCATTATCAAAAAATGCAATATCTTTAAGGAAAATACTTCTATCATAAAATTAATAAAATGATGAAAGAGAGAGTTTAAAAAAGCAATACTTAAATCCACATAAGCCCTCTAAAATAACAGGATAAATAGACGCAAATAAAAAGATAGACGGTTATTCTTAGAATAAGGAGCAACTACATAGCAACGCTGACATATGCGTGCTCACTTGAACGTAGTTTAAAATTATAATAGCCATAAATTCTCCTGGAAACATCATTGAGCCGGCGACTACCTAACCAAACAAACAACAAATTGAGGTGAACTCAGTCAGCCGGCACGCGGCAACACGATCGCGCGTATAATCTGTGGCAATTTAAAAAACATTCTCCAACATTGTTTTTTAAAAGAAAGCAACATCAAACTAACAAGGTTTTATATCATCTACAAGAAATACTAAAATTATGTAAGTACATCGTGCATATTTCTACATTTCTAATCATTAATGATACGACATTATCACACTTGTTTTGTTAGTAAATATCACATTAAGATATTATGTGTTTGCTTAAATAAATCGTTATCATTCGAGTCATTTGTGTTTCGTTTAAATTAAGAATAGAATATCTAATCAGTTATTCAATGTTAGCTGTCTATTGCTTTTTAATGTTAGCACGGATTTGATTTGTATAAACTCTTTATAAGTTTCTTAGATCAAATAGAAATAAGTTTGTAACCAACACTTAGACTTAAGAGATATTTGTAGGTACTGTGTGGGAGTTGAACTCATTAACACATGTGCAGTAATTGATCGACCCGCTAATGCACCACTACTGTGAAACTATCCCAGCATAAAATGCTTAATGGTATTGATTTTTCAGCCAAGTTCATTTCAACTGTGTCACCTTGAATTTAACTTTGATGTATGCATGCGATACCTTTAGAGACATCGACTGACATGACTTTTATGCAATGTATCACGTGCAAAAAACGCATTTCACGTGTTTTAAAACTGCATCTTGCAGATCTTGCTCATGTCCATTGATCATATCCGATTTTTTATTCACCCTAAACAGGCTCCTAAATTAACTGCATTTTTTTCTCCGTTCAAAAGATTTATTTTCTTTTTTTTTGTCAGGGGAAAATCATACAATGACTTCTCCCGCCCAGGGTAAGACGAGAGAGAGTGTCAGACTCTTACTGACTAAAAACCCCCCGTTCCTTCTCCTGCTCTGGGCCGAGGTCGCGGTGCCTCATTGCGCTTACCCCGCAACCCCGGCTATTTTCAGATATCACTTACAGTAGCTATTAGACAGATATTTTAATAATTATTACTGTAGTATCATGTAACGTAAACAACAAATGTCATCACGATAGCTAATGACATAGATAAGCTTGTAACAACGCTTAGTAATCAAGTAATGTTAAGCTGTCTTGCATATCTGCAGCCATTTGTGGACCATGTCCACGGTAAATATCGTCCGTGATCATTGTCACGTCATATTGGCCACAAAATATCTACGGCTGAACATACCTTGGCCTTCCCTAATGCCTTCAAGATTGGACTGTATACGTTTCATATCCCCTATCCTTCTTACCAATTACCCACGTGACATCATTTCCATCCCCATAATTTTACCTGGTTTTTTTTCGTGAGGGCAAAATCATCCAGTAACTTTTCCCGCCCAGGGTTAGGAGGGAGGGAGTGTCAGACTCTTGCTGACAACAATCGTGTCATTCGCGAAACTTTCTGCCTCGCACAGCCATATTGTGGAATGATCTTTCAGTCGCATTTTTTAACAGATAATTTTGAAGATAACGTCCTTATAACCTTCAAAAAACGAGCGTACTAATTCTTAAATGGACGGCACTTGTGACTCTTTAAGTGTTGTGGGTGAACTCTCCTAACATAACATCACATTTGGCACCTAAAAATAAAAAATAAAACGATTTTCTTTCTTTGAATAGTTGATATAATCTTAAGAATAATGAAAAACCTATCTCGGTAATCAGCCCTATACCATTAGAAACCAAAAAAAGGAACGTTTATTTGATCGTCTATCAACAAAGTATTTAAAAATTCCGTTGAAGAATTGTCAATAACTATCTATTAATCATAAACAACCTAACAAGTCTATTCTACTGTGTAGACTTATGTAAAAAAATGTCCACAATCAAATTAATATTCAAATTACTTATTTCAAGTTAACAATTATAGGCATATTTCGCGTAGTAGAAACTCCATGGTTGCGCTTTTTCTATTAGTGTTGCAATCGAATTCTTAGTTACATTACCTATTAAGTACGTTAGTTTCATTCCGAGAGAAATGTGTAACACTTATAATTAGCCAAACCAGCAGAACAGATACTTTTAAAGTGTAATCAAAATCAGCAAGCATTAATCACCACTCTTAATGCTCAAACCTTGAACGAGGATTGGTAATTTTAAACTTAATTCAGAAATTATAAGTCCAGTAGGTCTACCATAAAGTGCTTAATCGTGAATCTTTCTGGCGAGAAAAAGGGGTGGAGCTATAAAAGGTGTGTAGCTCCATCCCTCTTTCTCGTCCGGAATAGGGTAGGTCTACTGGTCTCCTCACAATGTTTTCCTTCACCGCGTGTCAAAATATGTCGGTACTTGCGAGGTATCAAAGCCGCACCCTCAAGCATGAGAAGCGAGCCCGGCAATAACATAACATAAATAATACCTATATGAAAATAGTAACTCTATGGTATTTATTTACTTCTAGAATATTCAATTATTTATATAATCCATGAGTTTGAACGGTAGAGAATTCCCATAGCATTTAATCAACAAATTATTAAGTGATTTAAATCTATAAATAATATTATTTTGTAATAAATATTCCCGTTAAATTTTTCCTCTTAGGTAACAAAAAATATCCTTCCTTTATTATATAAATATAGCTAAACTATATTGTTTTGTTGAAGGTAAAATGTGCCAAGTTCGTAATGATCAATAATTGTATTGTTTGTGACGAATGTTTAAGTGGACAAAAGTATATAGAATATATAAATTAGATAATAATTATTTATAATGACCATCTTAACAATTTAAGACTTTGGTTGCGGGGTAAGCGCAATGAGGCACCGCGGCCTCGACCGGGGATTTTTAAGTAAGAGTCTGACACTTCCTCTCGCCAAACCCTGAGTGGGAAAAGACATTTGATGATTTATCCCTGAAAGAAAATCGACTTTTAAAAACCATGCATTGCAAAATTGCAATAGTATCTTACTTCTACTTCTACTTCTACTAGTACCTTTTCTTCTTGCATCCATTATGGTTTGCAAATCTTTTCTCGTTAGGTTTTTACCTTTTTAACAAACCACAATCCGTCTGCTCATTTGTCCTATATACCATAAAATTTGCATTCAACTCTTATTACCATATATTTATTACATACAATTAAGGAAAATTTTCCTTAACAAAGTATCTGAAACTTGTTTCCCTGAGTAGATCTTTAATATTTTCTGTTCCATAATGATCATAGTAAAGTCTAAGTCTAGTCATAATTGGTTTAAATCATTAACCCTGATGGAGGAGGTCCAAAAATTGCTGTAACATTGCCTATAAAAAAAGGATCAAAGATAAAAAAAATCATCATCCGAATCAAAATCTTCCAGAAGGACTAAAAAGTCCTTCTGGATCTTCGAGTCGATAGTGCTATACGGTCCTTAAAGACGTTCGGGATGGAAACCGGTGGAGGTAGATCGTCCTGTTCAAATTTTTCCATATATAAAAAAAACTACGTTTAAAAAAACCGACTTCAAAAACAAAAAAGTGTCAAATAATTAAAATAGATATTTTAATAGCACTCTTACGTACGCGAAGCTAATACTTTTAATATTAATAATAAAACACTATCAACTCTATGTGCTACCTATTCATAGGTTTAAAGTCGGTGCCAAGCCTAATACATAATATTATAAGCATTTGATTGATGGCCTTAGCGTAGAATCAGAAGTCTATATTGTTTCGTTACATGCAAAATTATATATAGCTTAGAAAGATATTCGGGTGAAATATGAATTCTAAAAGTTTTCTCGTACTTAACGTAACTCGTGGGTTGTTAAAAGTAGTAGTAGGTAGGTTCGTTGCTGGTTGTGGAAATTTCGTCCTTTAGCAGTTAAAAAGTCTTAATTCTCATTTAGTTTTATTCTGTTTAGGGCTTGGCACCGACTTCAAACCTATGAATAGGTAGCACATAGAATTGATAGTGTTTTATTATTAATATTAAAAGTATTAGCTTCGCGTACGTAAGAGTGCTATTAAAATATCTATTTTAATTATTTGACACTTTTTTGTTTTTGAAGTCGGTTTTTTTAAACGTAGTTTTTTTTATTTTTTACTTTTTAGTGTCTGTTACAAGTTCTTCTGTAAACTACAGTAACATTTTAAATATAAATTAACATATTGAATAGTATATATATTTTTAAGTAGCTATGTGTAGGCCTGCGAAAGGAGCCGCTCTATTAAAAAATATGGATCCCAAGAAATGGGAAAGTTCTCATCATCATAATCATCATCATCATCATCATCAGCCTTTTTAATGTTCCCACTACTGGGTCACAAGCCACCTCTCTAGGAGAGGGAAAGTTCTTATCAATATAAACAAATTAAGTCCAAACACGAGGTCGCTACTGTAAACCGTTGAGGAGTTCCCTAGACTGTCCTTCGTCTTGATCTCTAATGATAGTCACAATCCATCTAGATGTAAAGTTATTATCAAAACCAATTAATTAAGCTCAAACACAAGGAAGCTGCTATGAATCGTTGAGGAATTCCCTCGACTGTCAATGGTCTCCATCGTCAGGTACACTGCAGACCTTCAGTTGTTATAATCCATACAGGTACAAAGTCTTCATCAACATAAATGAATTAAGTTCAAACACGAAGTAGTTACTGTACACCGTTCAGGAGTTCCCTGAGCTGTCCTTAGTTCTCATCATCAGAAAATTAATGATAGTTACGACCAAGTCTGGTGCAAAGTGCTCGCCAATACGAATCATTCAAGCCCAAACACAAGGCAACTGCTCCAAATAGTCAAGGAGATCCCTCGACTGTCTTCCAGCTCCAACATCTGGTCGACTTCGACCTTCGTCAAGTTGTAGTGTTGTTAAAGGCCTACTTAAACATCATACAAAAAAACTACTTGCCCCTACAATTTTCGAAAGTTCCCCTCGGTTTCTCCAGGATTCCATCATCAGGTCCTGACCTCATGACAATGGGACCAAATGGCAAGTATACCCTATCGAATAAAAAAAAAATTTTGCAAATCGGTCCAGGCGTCTTCGAGTAATCGGTGTACATACATAAAAAAAAAAAAAAAAAAAAAAAAAAATACTCGTCGAATTGAGAACCTCCTCCTTTTTTTGAAGTCGGTTAAAAATAATTTTACATAAGAAGGGTTTGGTACAACAACTATGAAGTGTCGCCTGTTGCGGCGGCTGAGGCGTGACGAGGAGGATTACTCCCTCGCACGGGCCGCCTCTCTCTTTGGGGTTGCGGGCATTTGCGGGTCCAAATTTAACAATTTATCGCGGTCCCGGCTCAAAGAAGTAGAAAGAACGGAGTGGTATGACAATGCCATATTGCTCCAGTCTTTGAACTGTCCCTTTGTCGATTCGTACTCGATTGCGGAAAGAGCAGGAATAACGACCAACATAGAGTATATTATTACAATTACCAGCCATTACGTGCGGGTCCTTCGGGCTTACCTGCCGTTAATCATAAGGCTACAAAGTTTGTAATGATGTTTAGAAACATAATCATAATATTTTAATCCCCGAGGCCTAGATCTATGAATAAGTATTACTTACATTATAATAACACACACATTGTTGTTACGTCTCGGCTACAAATTGACCAGATGATGGCTCTACGCACGTCATTGACCTTTCTCAACGAGTATCCTTGAGGCTCATTTCGATTTGAGAATGCAGTTTATTTATTATCTCGTGACAGAAATAAGTATTAAGTTATTTTTTCAATTTTCTTTATGGAACTTATGTAGTTAGAAAAATATTGATTGGTTTTTAGGACCATCTTATTGTATTTTGGAGCAAATAATCTAAAATTATTACCGAAATGGTCAATAAGCACATCATAACGCTTAACGCTAGTTAGGTACATTTTCGGGTGTTATATTAACTAAGTACCAACTACTAAGTGATCCACATCGCTCAATTATCTTGGACGATAAATTACTATGACGTAATACACAACTAAACCCACTTTTCGTTATTTAGGTGGATATTATTATAGCGGACTGGAAGGAACGTTCTCCACCGAGGGTTGGACTCGCTGTTATCGGAGCAGTAAGTCATATCTATGACTCTATGAGCCACTATAAAGATGAAGAAATAGGTGGAGCGAAACCCAGAGGGTGGGTTGAGTGCCAGACTCTTCTTAACTAAAAACTACTACGGTCCTTTACTTTGAGATATGGGTAGTCCATATAATGCCACCACTTTACCAGACAACCATATACAGAGTAACCAAATCCCTATTATAAATTCAAGTTTCCTCTACTATCTTTTTAGGGAGGTACAAAAAAAGTCGATCACTAGGTCATTGTCCAACACTGACGACGATACAATTACTGTTTTCAGTTTCCTGAAACATGGGCAGAGTAAGAGTAGCTGAGGCCCAGCGGTTCATGTCAGACTGCCTGAAGGCTGTCGGCACCGCGAGCAAGGCAGCTGACCTGCAAGCTGCGTTACTCATCCAGGCTGATAAGTTTGGACACCCTAGTCATGGTCTTAACAGATTAGGTAAGTTGACGATGGTTCAGAACGAAGGGTCGGTAAGGCCGCACTTACCTAAGTAAACGCAGGCCGTCACGTTTTTGACGTAATTGATATAAACGACATTATAAATGATAACTACTGAAATAGGTACGTAATTTATTCTCATTCTACGTAGACAAGTACCTATATAACGTTACATAACGTTAATTGGCCTTTTCTTTTTCCAGAAATGTATGTCAACGATATTTTAAGTGGGGCCTGCAAGCCTAACAACCAGCCAAAGATTCTGAAGGAATCCCAGTCGACAGCGTGGGTCGATGCCAACAACGTGCTCGGTGCTACTGCCAGCCAGTTCGCCATGGACATAGCCATCAAAAAGGCCCAAGAGACCGGTGTAGGATGGGTGTCTGTGAAAGGTATTATTAGCTAAAGGTGTACAGGTACCCTACATATGTGTATAAAATCACACCTTTACTATTTAGGCAAAAATAAAAACTGATACACATTTTTTGTTCTAAATCACACTTGGTAATATTTATAATTAAATATTTAAATAATAATAAAAAAAATTAAATTTGCTAATAGCAAGGAGAGAAAAGATTCAGGTATCTTACAGATTGATCAAATAATTCCAGGTTCAAATCACAATGGCATGGCTGGTTTCTGGTCCCAAATGGCAGCAGATAAAGGTCTAATTGGAATGGCTTTCACCAACACTTCACCATTATTAGCCCCAGCTAGGAGTAAACAAGTAAGTTTAAATATATTTAGACAAAAATGTTTTGCATCAATCAGCCTTTATATGCCCACTGACTTGCCTTTGCTCAGCAGTGGAAAGTATGATTAACCATCACGCTTGCTCAAGACGAAAAGTGATTTCAAACTGGTTTCTCACGATATTTTCCTTCAGTTTATTAATGAAAGTACCTAGGTACATATAAGTCGGAATAAGTCAAATTGATACTAGCCAGGTTCCAAACTCGCACCTTCATTTGTAAGAAGCGGGCGCCTTGACCTCCGGACCACAACATGTCACCCTTCCTTGACACTGATACGATAAAATTTCGCATTTTACGACTAACGACGCATATTCAAATTATTCAATACTTCATTTAAAACTTTCCTTTTGTTTTCAGGCAGCTTTAGGCACCAACCCTCTATCAGTAGTTGCACCAGCCTCAAAGGGAGAGTCCTTCTACCTGGACATGGCTACGACTGCAGTCGCCGTGGGCAAGGTAATATGGTACCAATATGTAAAAACACACCACTTTTTCACAAATTCAGTGATCTGAAGTCGTATTTAATATCGTAATCTATAAAGATTTTAATTGGTTTGTAAAGACTCGAGAAAGGTCCACATAACAAAATATTATGAACTTAACATGCTATGCACACCAAGCTGTGGAACAGCTAGTCACACGTTTTAAAAGTAACATACAAAATGATGTACGTAGTTTGAACATTTTCCAGATTGAAATGCAACTTCGTAAAGGAGAACCGATACCCCACGGCTGGGCACAAGGACCTGATGGGAATGAAACTACGAATGCTCAAGTGGTAAGTCCTTATTGTTAAAGGTAAAATAAGGTTGATTTTTGTAGAAACCTGGTAAAAACAGCTTTGTCTTATCGTGAATGTGTAAGTAATATATTATTTTTTTGTCAGGCCTTTGATACGAAGTGCCTCATGCCCTTGGGTGGTAATGAAACGACATCTGGCTACAAAGGGTATGGGCTAGCAGCTATGGTGGAGCTGTTCTGTGGAATATTGTCAGGTCAGCCATTTTTATTTCCTGGATGTAAACAAGCAGATATGTCACCTTATGACTATCAATCGACGTCCACATGGACTCCCGCAATACCAGCCTAAGAAATTACAAGCAAATTGTCAGTCTCTGGAAAAAAAGGTAGGGGGTGTGAGCTCCGTTAACTTCAATTACAAAACAAAACACTATTTAAGTGTTGTTACGTCAGGTTTTTGTAAAACCATGGTACTCCAGTCAAGCCGACCAATTTGGCAAAGCCCTTACACATTAAGTCCACTTGTGCATTAACAGGTGCTAACTACGGGCACCATGTGCGATCATGGTCCCACGCGGGCGACGGTGGGCCAGCCAACTTGGGACACTGCTTCGTAGCTGTCGATCCTGAACGGTTCGCGCCTGGCTTCGGAGACCGTCTAGCTGACTGCATACAACATTGGCGACAGTTGGAACCAGTGAGTATCAGTCGATTATTTTTGCCTTTTGTTGACGTGTTGGAGAAAATACCACTTATGTTAGATATCGATATTATTACCGTTAGCAAATAATATCATATGATTTCCTATTGGCCAATTCAAAGCCTACAAAGAATATTCATTTTTTTTAATAAGTTCTTAATATTTGGTTATTTATTATGTGTTATGTTACCCATGCATACATGACACTTAATGAGTGATTAATTCATCAAACCCCAATCGAAAGCCGGCGTTCACGCTCCTGTTGTTTTTTATTGTGTCTCGAATTACCATGTTTAAAAGGTTAACTATTGTTCATTTTATTTTTTTTCTAGACTGATCCTAATCTGGCCGTGATGGCACCAGGTGACAAGGAGAAGAAGGCGGCAGCGGAAGCGGAAGCCAGTGGGACAGTGTCATACGTTCAACAACAGATCGAGTCCAGCGCAGCGCTTGCGGAGAAACTTAAAGTTAAACCAATGGAAGTTGAAGTTGTTTGTCAATAGTAGGTGTGAAATGAGGGCTACCGTTTGTACCTATTGCTCGACAGATGGTACTAGTATACAATGTGTTGGGTTAAACAACGGGCATACCTATTGAAGGAACTGATTTTTGGTGCTTTTTATATGGGACCAACATCCAAACGTCAAAAATTTTATTTCCTTACAATACACATTGCAACAGCTGATTGATCATTTTGCATGGAGAAGTAAATTTATTTTTTAAGATTTCTACTCGTCTTATGATTTAACTTATTTTATTTGAGCACCAGAATCGGGTCCTTGACTATATGTCCCTCCCTAACCTAACCTAACACACTGTATAGTCTATCGTCTTTATTGCTGACTAGATGGCGCTAATATGGCGTAAGGTTTGTTTGTCCAAGAACTATAGCTAGCAAAAATTATGTGCCTCAGCCAAAAGTTACTGTTGTTCAGTAGCTTTCTATTAGATAAACAAACCCCACAATGCAAGCAATCAGGCAAGGTTGCGGGGAAAGCCCAATGAGGCACCGCGGCCTCGGCCCAAAGCAAAAGAAGGAAGGGGGTTTTTATTCAGTAAGAGTCCAACACTCCCTCCCGCCCCCCCCGCCTCCTGGGTTGGAGAAGTCATTCGATGATTTTCCCCTCACCACAAAAAATCACTGCAGGCAAAAAACGGTAGTCCTTTTTTATATGTACACACCTACATTTCTGTGATAACTGACTGATAAGTGATACCAATATCAAATGCAATATATACCACCTCTGTGTGTAAACTATTGTGCGCTTATTTTGTATAAAAAATTGTTATGAAATCATTGATTATAAAACAAAAGAAAGCCTTAGTTTTCTTTCTTATCCGAGCTCAAACCACCTATTTAAATAGAAATTGACCTAAGTTATAAGAATAATTTGCAAGAGGATTACTTCTAAACAACTGCAACAATTTTAAATAAATCTTTATTAGCAAGGCAGTTGACCTGCAAGCTAATGACACACAGTCAGGAAAAGCTAAGTATGAAACTAAAAAATATCAACAACACCAGATCCAAATTACATATGACATTAATGAAAATTTCCATTGGTTCACTCGCAATGTTAAGAATAATGATAACAGAAGTGCTAAGTCTACATGGACCATAGAACATGACAATCATGCCAAATCTGACCGGACCACTTAAATCCAGTGGCTACCTTTGACTCTACAAATATCCATCCATCTCATAGAGCTAAATGCTATGTTCACTTATCAATTACTTTCATGGTCCATTTCTGAAAGAAAGAACCAACTAGTAATTTTCGGTGGAGTTACATAGGCAAACATCTTCATTAGTAGTAGTAGTTTTTTATTGTTACTGTTTTAATCAAACATGGCCAATGCTTTATAGCACTTCACACTAGCTTCTGGCAGAAAAGATTATCATTTATTAGTATCATAAGAAAAGGACTTAGTACTATCATTATGACACACTAAATTTCCCAGTCTTACCCATTCAACAAAATGTTACAATATTCAATCATAGAGAACAACTGCTACATATATAGCTACTGCTCCTCGAATTTCCTATAACTTAAATTAGAGTGCCACAGGGGTTTATTATAGGACCTATTCTGTTAACATTATGCACGGCTTATATGTCTACTTAGAACAAATAGGATCCAAAGTACCTACGCTTAAAGAGGGTGAGGTTTAATTAACAGTTAACTATATAAGTACTAAGTTACTATATGCCCGCGATTTACTAGGGAAAGATGAAAATATTAAAAGATAATAATAATGACAATAGTGAGAAAGATGATAATATTCTACAAACAATTTATCTTTTACTATAATGTATTATATCCTAAATCAGTATGTATCAGCCACGAAGGAATTAAATTTAAATAATAAATAATTCTGTATCAGTTCACAGTTGGATAATTGTATTATGACATTGAAAGACAGTCTCAATCTCTGACAGTGACAGAGTCTGACAGACAACGAAACCGACACAATTTTGTTGCATGACAGAAAAAATACTTTTATGTTGACCAGACCACAATAATCATTTTACAACACCTAGAAACTTATCAGCAGCCAGCAGCAATTCAATTTTTTTGGAAAATAAATATCCAGCTTATTTCGCCAATGCTATTTTTATTGAAACACTTTATTTAATATGAATATAAAATTACGTAATTTGTTGATATTAAAAACCCAAACAACCCACCAAGGAAGCATGAACCATTCACGCACGCACGCATCAATAAAATTAAAGATTTCACTGCGGCTAACTGCTGTATCAATGGGATACCTAATTAAAATAAATCTAAGATTACTTTCTAACGGTATCTGTTCTTGTGAACTGACCCGCCGTCACTTTTTAATTATTTAAACAATATTGATTTAAACAAGAATCCATCTAGAAACAGCGATGCAAACATTAATTTCGTTTGAAAACCTTGGTACCTACCGACGGGCGGCATACCCGTCGGTAGGTACAGGTGATGTTTTCAAGAAGGTGATTTAAAAATACTATTTTATCAGTATTGCTAATAATTTATTGTAAGACAAAACCTAATCGCATTGGTTGTTACCACGAAAATCTATATTTTTTATAGTTATCATGTTTGCTAAATGTTTATGTCGTACATGCATAAACAATAGATATTATTTTATAAAACCGCTAGTTGCAGTAGCAGTGGGTCATCAGGCGGATTGGCGCGCTGCTTCGAGTTCAAGCGCGGTCATTTATTAACTGTTTGTTACATGTTTCGTTCGGTTGCTCTGTGCTCTCGCACACACGCACACTACGCGAAATTTATTTCGATTGCGCTCGCGTGCGCCGATTAAGTAGGTGTATGTGCTTTCGTATAGCATATTTTTAATAAAAATAAAAATATTTTAGTTGAGAACATAGTAACAGTAGTGTAATAATAACTTTATGACGTATAAAAATATAAGACAGTAGAAACTAAAATAATAAAAAGTAGTTACTTTCACTTCCAAAGATTTGTTTCTCTATAATTTCAGCTGCGGGATCCACTGGTAAGATCATTGGATCCCATCCTCCTGTCAAATGTCAAAACCTATTTTTGTTGATTATCACGAACTGCTGTGGTTTTTGTTTTGATTTATAATATTAAATTGTTAATAAAACACAAATTAGTGAATTATGGTGTTGTTGAAAACGAAATATAAAATCAGTGTATATTGGTGCGAATTAAATACTTTGTGATTTCGTTAATTATTTTGCAGTTTTTTAAGTCAAGTGTTCGTTTGTCTGTTGTTTCTTTTTAATAAAATAAAAGTGTACGTGTGGTATCTGTGATCGTAAAATCTTGGATAAGAAACAAGTTTGTGGATTTTATCGAAGGCTATGGTAAGTTTTAGAAAATACTAACATATTACTTATATTCTTATCAGAAGATGCATACTACTTTGAGTTTTAAGATTTCGTATAATAAGTCAAAGGTTTTCTTATTCATTCCTTTAATAAATATTATTATTTAGGCAAATACTATGTATTCACAGACAGCTGTAAGTAATTAAGTAGTTCATATTTTTCTAAAAACAAGGTATGTAAATTGCTTTATTAATACAAATATAGACACTTAGGTACTTGACACGTACCAGTGATTTTTAGTATAAATAAATACTTTGAAATATTATAGTACCTACCTACTTGTAATATAATTTAAAGGTAATAGGATCTTAGCCAGTGTCATTAGATTGACACTCCTATGTACCAGTTGTTAAAGTATATTTTTAAGTACCTCTCTAAATTATTATTGCTCATTTGGTGAGAGGTTATACTGACCTCAAAATGTTTATTTTTCCTAAATAATCACAGAGCCTTTAATACAAATTCTGTCACAGTCTTGTCAACAAATATCACTGCTGTAATATTCTTGCCCAATAGGAAGAAGGTAAACAAGTGAATAAGCCTTTTTTAAATTATCATTGATTCCAAAATTATTAGGCAGTATGAATTGACTTCCTGAAAACTGACTGTGAAATAAAAAATAAAAGAATTGTCATTGAAATAGTCAATGGAATAAACAGGCTGACTTATCAATAGTAGTAGGTATCTTAAAGATTATTTATAATTGAGAGAGTCACTTTATAAGTACTCTAAGATCAATACCGCTTGGACAAGAGACAATGGCCCTCTGCCAAGGTCATGGTTATAACAGCAAAGGCACAAATATTATACAAAGCTGTTTATAAATGTCTGTTACTGTTGTATAAAATAATTCTCTGTACTTATTTAAAGTTCAATGTTATATTGTGAAAGCAATGAAGAAAGGAGGTTTAATTTGACAGATAATTAAAAGTAAATTTAATACAAAATTATAGACTTGTTTAAAACAAAACAGATGCAAAAGTACTATCAAATATTTACATGAATTAATGTCAGTATTCAAATCGATCAGTAAATAAAAGTGGTTAAAAATTTTGTGTTTATTTTAATCACAATACTATTTTCTTTTCATTTATAGTAGTGGCCGTAGATTGCAAAGAGGTTTAATGTACCTAATATTTTATTTTAAAACTTATTACCTTAAGTTTTGATTTTAGCCTGTGGCCTGAATGTTTACATGCATACAGTTTGAGTTATACATGACACCCAGATTTATAACAACAAGTTGTAGATCAAACAAAGATTTTTTTCTTTATTGTGACAATTAAACTCCTGATATGTTGCACAGCAGCCAATTGCCTAGCTGCTATGTTCTTACATAAAAATGCTTAACAAGTTTTTTTTTCAAACTGTCCTTTATAAGTTGAAGTGAGCTAAATTTTAATGTTGAAATATGAAAATTTAAAGGATGACCAGGTAACTATATGGATAGATTGTGTGAAGAGAGAGAGAAAGAGAGAGACATGGATTAAAAGTAGGAAGGAGACACTTTTTATACATAGAACTCTCTATGACCTTAGAGGAATATATTACAGGAATAAAGTATATCTACTATTTTTATGGTAATATTTAAAAGAGCCACCATAGTCCTCAGTCAACATAGTCAGTTCTAGTTCTACTCATGAAAGTAACTTTGCTTTCCTATGTATCTAGTAGTATCTAGTCATTAAATATACTTAATTTTCAGGTCAAGACATTTGGTTTAACCCTAGATAGGCACAATAAGAAGTTTGTACAGTTCGGTTGTCCCTTAGTCGAACCATGTGTGAAACAAGTACTAAGTTAGGATCTTAAAAGAAATAGATTTGGTGTGAAAAGAAAGAATGGG